AATTATATGAAAAAAAAGGGAGGGGGGGGGGGGGGGGGGGGAGACGGGTGGGAGAGGGCAGGAAGGGGTTGTGCATGTATGGTGGATCTTACTCGGGGTTGCATGAGGGAAGGAGAGAGCAAGAGCCATCGCTCCGAAAGAACACCAAACTCCAGTTTCTGTGCGCCCCTCTCTTCTCCTCAAGTCCCACACTCTCTCCGCAGGAATTAAAACAAGTTTTAATTAAAAAAAAATAAAATAGAAAAACACGCACAGCCAGACGAAAAAAAACCCCGCTGCAGGGATGGGAAGTGAGTTCTCATCTCCCTGTATTTCAGCTCCAGCCTTCCCATCCTCCATGGAACCAGGTGCCTCTCCATAGAGATCCCTCGGCGCATGAGGACCGCTCGGATCAGGGAAGTCTGGCACTTCTCCCGACAGCCGAAAAAAAACCCGCAGAGAAGCCACCCGAGGAAAGGAAGCCCGAGTTGATGATTATGCTGTTGCCACAATCCCCCTCACAGCTTAAAATTCGTTTAATGCTTGAGAAAATAAATTCTATTATAATAATAAAAATCAGACTTCTACCATCACGTGTGGCTGGAATCTGATACCCTCCTGGCCCACAAGGCTCCTGGAAAAAAACAAAAAGCAAAAAACAAACGAAAACCCAACCCCCCCACCATCCCCTGCCCTCAGAAAAAAAGGAGAGCAAAGTTAAAATTTATATGGCTAGAAACCATATGATTTGAAAATTTAAAAAAAAAAAAAAAACACCCACAAAAAAAAGCAGAAGATATCCAAGAAGAAGGAAAAAAAGAGAGAAACCAAAACCAGGAGCAGAGAGTCAGGAAAGGGAGCTGGGGGTAGCCAGTGGGGACAGCGGTAGGGCCGGGGTGGGACTGGGGGGGCAGCGGAGGTGTTCCCGCACGGCTCCCGCGTTGTCAGCTTCTCGGAGGCGCTCGCGCTGGGGAACGCAGGCGGCCCTCTCGGAAACGGCTCACACCAGCGCAGGGGCACAGCTCGACTCCTCGTCGTTGGCAAAAAGAAATTCTGTCGGGGTTTTTTTTTTGTTGTTTTTTGTCTTTTTTTAGTTTTTTGTTTGTTTTTTGCGTTTTTTGTTTTTTAAAAGAAAAATACAGTGAAGACACTAGAAAGAGAGGGGAAAAAAAAAAGAAAAAAAAAGAGAAAAAGGGAATAGTAGGTTAGAATAAAAGGCTCTTCCCAGCACTTCAAATGCCAACTGGAGTGTAACAAATCAAATCGGCCCTTTCTTCTACACTCCTGCCACCCCTCGGAGTTACCTTGTCCAGCTACTGTTGTTTCCTCTACAAGAGGCACTCGCTAGTTACGCAAAGTCTCGCACACTTGATTACGTGCTCAGCACTCTCCTGCCCAACACTATCACACTGCCAGAAAAGCATTCATTAGGAACTAACAAAATGGCTCCCTGGCCCAGCACCTTCCTCACCCTCCCTACCCTCCTGGAGCAATGGAAGCTACCTTCACAGCCAAGATAATCCATCCCCCAAGGTTTTGGCAGCCAACCTTACTCTTCCCTCTGAAGTGAAAAACCATCTCAAAGTAAGGCGAAGGGAAAGGAAATGTACCAATCCCCCACAGCAACATCAAAGCCTTAACCTAATCCCTAATGCCAGCAATTCCCTCCTTGGGCAATCCCAGGCATGAGGACAGGCTCACCTAAGCAAACACTGGTCCAGTGGCAATTGCTCCTCACTTCCCAAGGTGATCAAATGGCACACTTGTCTACAAGAGAAAAAGAATAGGTAAGGGATGGAGAGGAAGGATACCAAAACAGAGGCTGCGCGTTTCTTTCAGGATATCCTCCCTCCCAAGAGTTTACTGTTCCACTTCTCCAAACCACTGCGGTCTGGAAGACAACCGGATGAAGGCTTACTCAGAGCAAAGCAGAGCTAAGAGACAGTACTGAGCATGGCCTCCAGAAAACATGTAACTGAAGAGCCAAGGTGTAACCTGGTACCACTCCCCTTGCCACACTGTAGAAGCTTCAGGCACATGGCAGCAGATCAGGTAAAAAACACTCCAGCAGATCAGGTAAAAACCGCTGTGGGGCCCTTAGTCCTTCTGGGACATGCAGGCCAAGGCCACAAACATCGCGGCAGGGACTCACCTGTGATGCTGAAATCCGTGACACTTCTTGCCGCCCTGTGAGGTCAGATGAGGAGACGTTGGCAGGAGCTCCTCGGTGTAACCTCATGCTGACCTTCCGCTCCCTGTCCACTCTTGAGATTGCTCTGGGAGACGTGTTTCCTGTCGGTGCAGAGAAACGCGAGACAAGAACATCAGTCAATCCTTTCCATTTCCAGCCAGTAACAGGGGTGGCACCCTCCCCCAGCTCTCCCACCCCACTCACCGGACTGTTGGATTCGGGAGGTGGGGGTGGAGGCCATGGGCTCAGTGACATTGCGAAGACGGTTGGCAGTGGCTCCAGCAGGCGGGCCAGGGGGCAGCGCTCGCGTGGCTGCCCCCCGGAGTTGCCCCATCCTCTCTTCTCGCTCATGCTCTCGCCGCTCCCGATCCATATCCTCAGGGTTCCGGGCTGCTCCCTGAGGAGGACAGAAACCCCCACGCCACGCACGGCTGTCAGGCAGGAGAGACAGCAGCAGCACCGGACAGAAAACACACACGTGCTCCATCACACCAAGAAAGCAGAGCTCCATCCCCAAAACACATTCTCCCCCCCCGCCCCCATCTTCCACTCCACCCAGAGAGGGCCTCCTTCCCTGTTTCTTCATGGAAGAGAATAAACCATATGGTACTACAGCTGTTATTGCAATCCACGTCTTTGTCCCATCTCCAAATATAGTTCTCGCCTGAAAAATTATCTCTACCTACCTATAGATCTATTGACACACATGCTCTATCAGACACACTCACTAATACAACAGTAGCTATACCCCCCAGTTTGCACCACCAAACAATTCTGCCTCTTGACTCTACCTGTTCCCCTTTCTCAAATTGCTCACCAGGGGTAAGTACAAATGACAGGCAGTTTCCAACTTTCCTCCCCCATCTCCATGATACAAATCAACCTCTGGCCCTCCAGCCCTCTCCCCACACACACTCACAAATTTAAGCATGTTCCAGTCAAAGACGTAGTCATAGGAGAAGCCTTGGCGGTGGAAGAGGTTGCGGAAGAGCTGCCGCAGGTACGAGTAGTCAGGTTTGTCGTCAAACCTCAGTGAGCGGCAGAAGTTGAGGTATGTCGAGAACTCAGCTAGGGGGAGCAGAGAACAGCTGGCTGTTGAACACCATCCAACTCCCCTGGTCCCACCACGGAGCCGCCACAGCCTTTCAGCAGCAGTGTGCTGGACCAGGACAGCACAAACAGAGAGTTGTGTAACAAAAACAGAGCCTGCCGGTTACAGTGCAGAATAGGTGGAGGTGAGCTTTGGGAAGCTCAGCTCAAACCAGAGGTCCTCCTAGTTCAGTAGCCTGTCTTAAGCAGTGGCCAAAAGTAGACAGCTACAGAGGTGAGAGACTGGGGCAAGCATGTCTGACACTTTCATTGGCATTACCCCAGCTTCTACCTACTTTCAGCTCAGGGAACTTCCTGATCTGGATGTGGTTTCCAAATTTAGCAACCCTCAGTGGATCTCTCTTCCATATAGTTGTCCAATTTCTCCTTGAACTCCTGTAAGCTTTAAGTATCCACAACATCTTCTGGGAAGGAGTTCTACAGGTCTACTACTGGCTCTGTGAAGAACCACATTGTTTTGAAGCTAGCAGGAACCAGCTTTGTTCCTCTTCCAATGCAATAACTGGGGCCACCAAATAATCAGCTCCCATCCAAACTTCTGGAGGCACAGCGGGAGTGTAGACTTGCATCATCTCCCTAATGACCTCTTTTCCAAGTTCCAGCAAACTCATTGCTTATATAGAAATCACCTTGCCTCTGATCACCCTTTTGGCCCTTTCCTGGGCCTTTTTCCAGTTCTACCGCATCCCTTCTGAAATAGTGGGATGGACCAGAGCTGCACAGCGCATGCAAGGTGTGAGTGGGCCATGGGTTTATGCACACTGTTTGGGCTTCTATTCTTTCCTAGTAATTCCAAACACCTGATCCACTTTCCTCAGTAGCCACTAAGCACAGAGTTGATGCTTTCACAGAACCATCTATTTTAACTGCAACAGCTCAGTGGTGAGTGGCACTGGTCAGCTCAGAGCCTACTATTCTGCATATGACATGAGGACCAAGCCTTCTCTCTCCTCTCACATATGTAACTCCACGTTTACGTACAAAGAACTGCATTTGCCACTTCATTGCCTGGTTATTTCTGGGGTTCATCACAGTTGGCCCTCATTCTCATTACCCAGTCAAAACTCAGGATC